GGCATGTGTCTCAGTTCCATTCTTGTCTCTTGGTGACCTTGTTTTTTTCTTTCCAAATAGTATAAAACTTCAAGCCCCTATCCTAAATTTCTCTTGGAGCTCAGTTTTACTTGATTTTTGTCAGCTGTATTGCTCAAAGTAGAAATTTTCACCACACTGTGTTAAATCTTTTGTGTATTGATTATTTGATGGCTATTTTCCCTGTACTTTTATGGTTAATCTGGCATTTATGAATGATTATAGTGTTTATTCCTTCATTCTTTCTTTGAACAGATACTTATTAAATGGGTAATTTAAGTCCAGTACTATGCTATATATGTGTCTGAATGCAAGATGAAAAACAATGRGTTTTTGTTGGTTTTTAAATATGGATCTTTAACTAAAATCAAGGAAGTCAAAGATCATTAAGGAAAGAGAACATAAACAGTGTGGAAATACAGGAGTAGACTTTGACGAAAGAGCCCTGGAAGCACAAAGGTGGGAGGCTAATAAACTCTTTGGGAGGTGCAGGCAGGGAACAGTCTATAGCTCCAGACTATATGTCTCATTTCAACCTCTTTTTAAGTTCCTGTCTTAATAACTTAAACTTTTCATAGTGGCAAATAGCAAAGATAATTTTGCTTAGTCCTGTACCACTAGTGGTTTTAAGAGACAACTGCTTTATCAAACTTTTGTCCAAAAAGCTTAATAACTATTATGGCAAAACCAAAATCTTTTCTTTGTTATTCCTCAGCATTTCTATGGCTAAATTTTTTTTTGGTGGTGGTGATGGTCAGGTTTACCAGGGATTGAACCCAGGAACACTTAACCACTGAGCCACATCCCCAGCACTTTTTTATGTTTTATTTAGAGACAAGGTCTCACTGAGTTGCTTAGGACCTCATTAATTTGCTGAGGCTGACTTTGAACTCCGTCCTCCTGCCTCAGCCTCCTGAGCCACTGGGATTACAGGTGTGCACCACCACACCCAGCCAGCTATAATTATTGAAAATAAAGTACTGGGGAATTTGGGACTAATGCCTAATTTTCTTAGATTAAAAAAAAAATGGAGAAGGCCGCATAATCTTATCTGCTATGTGCTAAAATGGGCTTGTCTTAGTGCTACCATACACAGGCCATTTATTTATGTCTTTGAATCTCCCATGAATATCCTTTAAAGTGTACCTTTAATTTTTGTTTAAAAATTAATATCAAAGGAAAGGAAACTTTGTAGTAACTTTTAAATATTTGTGTTGTAATTATGTTTTACCCTATGTTYTTTTTTCCTCTTGAAACTTTATAAAAATATTATCCTGAGAAGATTAAGTTTCTGTTATTTAACCTGTCACTGCTGTTCTCCTGTTTCTTATAACTGTCCATTTGAATTGTTATTTTTAAATTTGGTTTATTTTTATTTATTTTTTGAGATAGGTTTGCTGTTTTTGTCAAAGTTGGACTTGAACTCCAGGGCTCAAATGATACTCCTTCCTCAGCCTCCCAAATATCTGGTTACAGGCACACCACCACTCCTTGCAAATTTGTTTTTGTTGATGGTGGTGGCAGTGTTGGGGAATCTAGCCTAGGGCCTTGTGCCTGCTAGTCAAGTGCTCTCCATTGAGCTATGTCTAAAAATACTCAGTTGTATTTTTTAAAAGTAGTTATATACAAAGGCATTGAAGTTGCGTCTGATTTTCACTATTGTAAATAATGCTTGATTGAGTAGTTCTGTATAGAGTTTTGTTTTTTTGTTTTTATCTTTTTTTTACAGTTTTGATAGGATGAGTTTCCAGGACTGAGATTTTAGACCAGACCTGTGCATACTGTCCAAAAGTTTCCAGTTAATTGCGTTCACTACCAGTTTACTTATAGTTGTTGCTTAACTTTTCTAGAGTATATCTTGTAAAACTCTGAAATCCTTAGCATAATCGTGATGATGATTATGTAAATTATTTTAGAAAAGACTTTGCAGCTGGTACTGTGAAATAAGATTAAACTGACTAGTAAGAAATTTTTGCTTTGGCTTACCCCTTGTTCATTTATAAAAAGGCCTTGGTTTTTTGAGGAGGCAATGAGAGCAAGCAGTTAGGGACCGAATGATTGTGCCTGCAATTTGACAATCTAGTTCTGTGAATTTGAGAAGGAAGAATGTATGCTTCAAGATTTCCTGATCAGGGATGTTGCTTAGAAAGAACCAATATCCCTGCTTTGGTAACTATCTTAAAAGTTGAAAAGAGAGTGAGTAGAAACTAATGAATTTTAAAATAGATGCTGTGATGTTGATAGTCATTATGAATGATTGTGCCATATATAATGCTACGAAAAATAAGTTTAAAAAACTAAGGTTAAGGGCTGGGGATGTGGCTCAAGCGGTAGCGCGCCTGTCTGGCATGCGTGCGGCCCGGGTTCGATCCTCAGCACCACATACMAACAAAGATGTTGTGTCTGCTGAAAACTAAGAAATAAAATATTAAAAAAAAAAACTAAGGTTAAAAAATAAAAGTATGTATTAATTTGATAAATTTGTCTGAGACACGTACTAAAAGAATAAACCCAGGTCACCCTTGGAGCTTGCAGTGTTTAAATATGAACCCTTTGTACTTCACCATTATTAAATAAAATTGACATGTAGTATATTTGTCAATAACTATGAGTAATTTCTTTAAGATATACTATGTTCTGTTTTTTTTTTTTTTAAACACGTAATAAACTTTAACGTGACCTCCAGTATCATGGAGTATTTAACAGTTTAATTAAAAACAGATGGAGAAAAGTTGATTATGATTGGAGCTTGCAAATATATTGTTATTATTCCCAGTCTGCATTGCCTTTTTTCAGTATATAATAATAATAATTAAATTTACATATTTAATARGTAAAGATACAATTCCTTTAACCATGAAATTAAGAATCTTTTAGCACTAGGGGGCACTCTTGATTTATGAATTCATGTCATACTTAGTCTATGCATAGAATATGGAATGAGATGAAATTATTTGAAAACATTTCATTGCAAACTGAATGTTACTGTCAAGAAATTAGAATTATCAAGCCAGTTTTGTGTAACAGGGTGAACATAAATTTATCATTAACAGTGTTGTCATAGGTTAATGATGCTTATAGAATATTACAGATAATATCCATTGGATGAAATTATAGTATTTCTGTGCTTTATTCATTTCCTATTGATTTTCTAAATGTCTTTGAAATGGTTTTAAAACCACCATTATTTCAAACATTTTTTTTTTTAATTCTAGCACAGTGTTTTCTTCTTGGGTACTTAGGCAATCTGAAGAAATGAAGACAAATTTAGGATGTGACTGAGGAGTGTTATTATTAGTAGTAATTTTTAAGTATTTGAAAACCAGGGGTAGGTTTTGCTTCATTTAGGAAATAGATTTGGCATTTTTATTCATTGGCATTTACAATTAGGATTTTAGCAACTTGTCACCAGTGTGTGCTTGCCAGAGACATATTTCTAAGGTTTTGTCTTTTTTATTTAGAAGACTCCATTGAATTTAAACTTTATGTAGAGTAAGTATATGGTAACAAAAAGTCTGCATCATGGTAATGGCATTCTTGTTAGGGACCAGCACTTGTTTTAGGTGCTTTTGCATATATTAGCTTGTTTATCCCCAGGACAACTCTGTCAGGTAGGTATCTATTGTTATTCCTGTTTTATAGATGAGGAAATAGCAAGGAAAGTTCAAGTTTGCTGGGTTTATATAGGCAATCTTGTTCTAGGCTCTGTGCTTTTCAGTTGCTATCCTACATTGCTTTTTTAGAGAAAGTAAGTTTAGTATTGAAGGAATTGCTATTGACATTGTAAACTTAGTCTTTAAAGTAGAATACCTAAATTATAGACACTTAACCATTCTATTATGAAAAACATTGTGGAAATTTTAAAAGGGTCCTTCAAGTCCATTCAACTTACAGAGAGGAGAAAATTTTGTCAGAGAGGTTAAGTTAGCTACTCAGTGCTGTACGGCAAGTTATTTGTGTAAAGATAGTAGTACCTCAAGAAAATATTCTGACTTCCAGTAAAATAGAAAAAATACAGTATTATGGAAAAAATATTTAATATTGATGGTTTGTTTCTTGTACTTGGCTCGTCATTTACCCTTTTTCCAAGAGGTTTTATTTCTTGTATTACGTGGGAATAATAATAGCATTATTGTTATGTTGTATTATACAGGTATAATATCTTCACTAACTAATGTTCTTGGAAGCTGTGAAATGAGATAATGGATTGAGGGTATTCATAAACCTTAAAGCCCTATAAAATAAACATGTCATATTTTGTGGTATTTTTATGACACATTCCATATTTTATTTTTCTGTGTTTATAGTACCTTGGTCCCCAACGATCTACATCACCAGGAATGAAAAGCTTAGCCGGGCATGGTGGTGCATGCCTATAATCCCAGTGGCTAAAAGCTAAGGCAGGAGGATCACGAGTTCAAAACCAGCCCCAGCAAAAGTGAGGTGCTAAGCAACTCAGTGAGACCCTGTCTCCAAATGAAATAAAAATAAGGGCTGGGGATGTGGCTCAGTGGTTGAGACCCTGAGTTCAATCCCCAGTACCACAAAAAGAAAAGAAAAGCTTATTCAATATTTTCTATTTAGAGGTGCCATTAGATTTTGAAATTTTTATTGTGTAGGGCATCCATTACTTTGCCACATGATTTTTATACTTAAAACTAAAAAAAAAAAAAAGTTATTTTATTCTCACATATTCCACTTAATCAGTGAAAAGTGATGCTTTACTTAGGAAGAAAACATTAACAACTATTGAATACTGCCCATCTGGTGTTTCTGATTATTTGAAAATAGCTTATAGGATTGTTCTCATGTTCTCAATCTGGATTTAGTGGCTTAGCTAAAATAAAAGTTCAGCAAATGGAGTTCAGCAAAGATGAACTATTTTGTTCCTTAGCATAGTGGGTAGGCATGGATTGGTGTTTTTGTAACTTCAGGGAAGATTTTTAACTTTTCTATCTATATATATWTTTTTTTTTCTGCAGACATAATGTATTTGTGGCCTTGGACATGAAGTAATCAGTCCTCTGTTGCTGTAAACATAGGGTGGGGACTGATGAGGGAAGCATGGACCTGATGAACGGACAGGCAAGCAATGTTAATATCGCAGCTACTGCTTCTGAGGTAAGCCATTTTACAAAACCTCACTGTAAATTTTCTCACCTGCCTTTTCTGATTTTTCATTCACTGTGGTTGGTTGCATTTTTAAATTAGAATGTGAGATAAAGAGCTACGTGTTTTTAAGAACTTGCAGTTTTGTCATTCATGTATTCACTGTTCATCCTAGAAATAGTCCTCATCTATTTAAAATACTTGAAAGATAATAATAAGAAATGATTACTTGAAACTTTCTTTTTAGGTTTAATTTTAGAGGAAACACATAATTTCCTTTTAGAGTATTCCTACTTTATGTGAACCTTGGACAATAGTGAAAGTGAGGCAAAGAAAGATTATTTATTTGGAATCACTGAATTTTTGGACATCATACAGAGCACTGATTTCAAGCCTGTTGAAGGAGATCAAAGAACTCTTGGACTGGACTATTAGGCTTAGTCTGATGAGGCAGATGGAGATGAATACTGAACCAGGTGTTCACCTCTCTAATTAGTATATTGTGATTTTATTTCTGCTTCATCTTTTTCTTTTTTTGCCTGCCTACAAATCTAGAATACTTACCTTAGTAGTTTTAGCATTTGTCTCCTATGTTTCTCCTTCGTTTTTCTCCTATATTGGAGAAGACCAACATTTATGACTCTTAACACTTTGTTCTCAAAGTATTTTAATAACAATTAATAGTCTACCACCTTTAGGCTATTAGTAGTACCACAGTTCCATAGCTACCTACACTTAAATCTTTAAGTTCTTTTATCTACTCCCTTTTTCTTGGCCTGCCACAACCATTTTCTTATCCCAGCAGAATCCACTAGCAAAACAGAAATTATGATCTTAAGTGATGTAATCATGGGAGTGACATCATATCACCTTTGCCATTTTCTTTTTTTTTTTTTATTGGTTGTTCAAAACATTACAAAGCTCTTGACATATCATATTTCATACATTAGATTCAAGTGGGTTATGAACTCCCATTTTTACCCCAAGTGCAGATTGCAGAATCACATCGGTTACACATACACATTTTTACATAAACCTTTGCCATTTTCTACTAATTAGAAACAAGTCATGGTCCTGCCCACACTGAAGGGGAGAGAATTACACAAAGGTGGGAATCCCAAGAGGTACAGATCCTTGGCAACTGTCTTGGAGCAGCCTATTCACCAGACTTTGGCTTCATCTCCTTATTTCTACTATTACCATCCTAGTTTGGTTATTTATGATTTCTTGTCTAGATTATTGCAGCAACTTTTCAGTTTAGTTTTGCATTACTATTCTCTATTGTTTCTGTTCCATTTGTTTGAAATTTACCATTAACATTGTTAAAATAAAGTTTTTAAACTTTTGTCTTATCCCCAAACTATTGGTAGTTTCTCATTGCCTACTAATAATATTAGAATGCCCCCACAGCCATTCATTATTCAATATTTTCTGCAGAATGGCTCCCAATTTTATTTCTAATGGATTTAATTTCTATTTGAAACTTCTGTTGAAAATACTACATTTTAAAAAATGTTTATATAAATCATTAGCTTTGCCTACTTCTGTTCTAAATTTTCCGTCCGGAATTTTTCTTCTCTTTCCAATGTGTCCCTTTCCTTACTGCACAAAAAGATATTGTCTTTTGAAATGTATTTCAAACATTGTAACTTTTAATAAAAGCTTTTCTAATTCCCTAAAAGGTGGGAGTTTTCCTGTTTTTGAAACTATCACTTTAAAAAATCTTTAGGCTTTTTGTTTTGTATAAATGTATACATAACTTTTCTTCCTCCTTGAGGCAGGAATTATATTGTTTATGTATATTTACTTAGCATATTAGAAATATATTCATTTTTTCTTCTATTTATCTATTTTTTAAAAAAWTTTTATTTGTTGATGGACCTTGATTTTATTTATCTATTTGTAAGCAGTGCTGTGAATCGAATCCAGTGCTTCGCACATACTAGGCAAGTGCTCTACCRCTAGGCTACAACCCCAACCCTATTTATCTATTTTTGATCAGTGCTTTGTAGATACATTTGAAGATGGATTTCACTGTGGTGTATTTATACATGCACAGAATAATTCTGTCATTCATTCCACATTTCCTCCCCTTTCCTGTCCTTCCTCTCTCCCTCTCAGTCTCCTTCTTCTTCACCATTGGTATTCCCTCTATCCTTATGGTTTCTGATCATTACTTTTCCTTTTTATCTCTTTCCTTTAATTCTAGATTTGACATATGAGAGGAAACATTCAATGCTTGATTTTCTGAATCTGGTTTGTTTCAGTTAGCATGATGTTCTCCATTTCTCTTCATTTACCAGCAAATGCCATAATTTCATTCTTTTTTTATAGCTAGGATAATTCGTGTGTGTGTGTGTGTGTGTGTGTGTGTAAAATGTATTTTCTTAATTCTTTCATCTGTTCATAGGCACCTGAGAGATTCCATACTTGGCTTTTGTGAGTTGTGTTCCTTAAATATTGATGTGGGTGTATCATTGAACTTTTTAGAGTCCTTCTGAATAGGTATCAAGGATTGGGATAGCTGGGTCATATGGGGGTTCCATTTGTAGTTTTTTGAGGAGTCTCCATACTGTTTTTCAGAGTGGTTGTATTAATTGGCATTCACATCAATTTTTGAGTGTGCCTTTTCCCCAACACCCTTGCAACATTTATTTGTACTCTTGATAATTGCCATTTTGCCTGGGATGAGAGGAAATCTCAATGTAGTTTTAATTTACATTCCCCTGATTGCTAGAGAGTGGTAACATTTTTTCTATATTTCTTGGTCATTTGTGTTTCTTCTTTTGAGAAATGTCTGTTTAGTTCTTTTGCCCATTGTTGTCTTCTTCTTCTTCTTTTTTTTGGGGGGAGGGTTAAGCTTTTTTGAGTTCTTTTTATTTTCTAAATATTAATCCACTGTCAAAGGATTAGCTGGCCAAGATTTTACCCCATTCTGTAGTCTCTTCATACCGAGGGGAGCTTTACCACTGAGATATACCTGCAACCCCTTTTATTTTATTTTTTTCTCCGCAGTCTGGCTGGGCACAAATCACAAGCCACTCAAGCAGGAACAAACTTTATTTCCGAACTCCCGCCACCACACACCACCACACACCAACCGGAAATCCCTCCTCTAGCACTTCCCCAACCAACGGGAACTCTCCAGGAATCCCGGGAGAACTCCAAAGTAGGGCTGGGGTCTAATATACAATTGAATACACAGCTTAACATAACCATCATCATCTCAATGGCTCTATGGCGGACTGGGCTGTGGCTCTCAGCATTTTTTATTTTTAGGTTGCTTAGGGCCTCATTAGATTGCTGAGGCTGGTCTCAAACTTTCCTTTGCTATGCAGAAACTTTTTAATTTGATGCTGTCTGACTTAATGATTCTTAATTTTATTTCTTGAACTTTTTAGGGGTCTCAGTAAGGAAGCTGGTGCCTGTGCCAATATGTTGGAGTGTTGAATTTATGTTTTCTTCTAGCAGTTGTAGAGATCTGATCTAATTCCTAAGTTTTTGATCCACTTTGATTTGACTTTTGTGCCAGGTGAAAGATAGGGATCTAGTTTTGCTCCTTTACATATGAATATCCACTTTTCCTAGCACCATTTGTTAAAAAGGCTATCTTTTCTCCAACATGTATTTTTGGCACCGTTGTCAAGTATTAGATGACTGTTAACTATTTGGTTTGTCTCTGTCTTCTACTCTGTTCCTCTGGTTTTATGTCTATTTTGATGCTAACACCATGCTGGTTTTTTTTTTTTGTTTGTTTGTTTGTTTGTTTGTTTGTTTTTTGCTAGAGCTCTAGTATAATTTGAGATCAGGTTTTGTGATGCCTTCAGCATCTTTTTCTTGCTCAAGATTGCTTTGGCTATTCTGGGTCTTTTTATTCTGCCAAATGAATTTAAAGACTTGTTTTTCTAGTTATATGAAGAATGTCATTGGTATTTTGATGAGGATTACATTGAATCTGTATAATGCTTTTGATAGTATGGCCATTTGGACAGTATTAAATCTGCCAATCCAAGAACATGGGAAGTCTTTTCCATCTTCTAAGGCTACGGTTTTCATCTCCTTAGTGAGATTAATTGCCAAGGTTTTTGTTTATTTTGATTTTATTGTGAATTGGATAATTTTTCTGATTTCTTTTTCAGCAGAAAAAAGGATATAGAAAAGCTATTAATTATACATGTTGATTTTGTATCCTGCTACTTTGCTGAATTTATTACCTCTAGGCATCTTCTGGTAGAGTTTTTTTTTTCAGGGGCGGGGGGGGGGGGGGGGGGGGCAGTTCTAGATATAGGATCAGATCATCAGCAAAAGATAATTTGACTTCTTTTCCTAAGTGTAAACCTTTAATTTCCCGCTCTTGTTTCAACACCTGTGTTGAATAGGAGTGGTGAGAGTGGACATCTTGTCTTGTGACTGATTTTAAAGCAAATGTTTTCAGTTCTTCTCCATTCATTATGATGTTGGTTTTATATGTAACCTTTATAATGTTGAGGTAAGTTCCTTCTATTTCTATTTTCTCCAGCATTTTTAACATGAATGGGTGCTGGATTTTCTCAAAGGCCTTTTCTTGAACAATATTCTTTTAAATCCATTGAGATTACCATATGATTTTTGTCCTTAATTCTGTTCATGTAATAAAGTACATTTTTATTGATTTGCTTACGTTTAATGAACCTCATATCCTTGGGATGAATCTAGCTTGATCATGTATACATTCTTCTTAATGTGTTTTTGAATGTGCTTTGCTAATATATTATTAAGGGTTTTTGCATATATGTTCATCAGAGATATTGGTCTATGGTTTTCTTTCCTTGGTGTTTTTGTACCAGTGATTCTTAGCTGAGAATCCATCTTGTCTTGAACTTTTCTTTGTTGGAAGGCTTTTAATTGCTTTGTTTCATTGCTTGATATTGGTCTGTTTCGGTTTTCTGTATCTTCCTGGTTCAATTTGGTAGGTTATATGTGTCTAGAAATTTGTCAGTGTCTTCTAGATTTTTCAGTTTGTTGGAGTATAAATTTTCAAATGATTTCAGAAGTATCTGTGGTGATATCTCCTTTTTATCATCTCTAATTTCATTGATTTAAGTCTTCTCTTTTGTGGAGTTAATTTTGCTAAGAGTTTATCTTTTCAAAGAATCATATTTTGGGGGTGGTGGTACTGGGGATTGAACCTAGGGGACCTTTACCACTGAGATATACCCCCAACCCCTTTCATTTTTTATTTTGAAACAAAGTCTCACTAAGTTTCTTAGGGCCTCATTAGATTGCTGAGGCTGGTCTCAAACTTTCAATCCTCCTGCCTCAGCCTCCTAAGTCACTGTGATTACAGGCATGTGCTACCATGCCCAGCAAGAATCAGTTCTTTGTTACATTGATCCTTTGTATTTTTTTTAAAAGTGGATTTATTGTGGCCCACAATTTCAGAACTTTTAGTCCATGGTTGGCCTGGTCACTTTTTAAAATTTATTATTGAATTGCTGATAGACCTTTATTTTACTTACTTACTTACTTGTTTATTTATTTATTTATTTACTTATTTATTTATTTATGGTGCTGAGAATTGAACCCAGTGCCTCACACATGCCAGGCAAGTGTGCTACCACTGAGCCCCAGCCCCCTTTGTATTGGTGTTTTAAATTTTACATTCATTAATTTTGACTCTGATCTTGTTTCTTCTTGTTTTGGCACTAGATCATTCTTCCTTTTCTAAGGCCTTGAGGGTATAGTATTAGATTAATTTGGGATCTTTCTATTTTTTTTTTTTAATGTAGGTACTTGATCCTATAAACTTTCCTCATAGAACTGCCTTCATACGGTTCCAGAGACCTTGATATGTTGTATCCCTGTTCTTATTTGTTTCTAAGAATTTCCTGATTTCTCCTCTCATTTCTCCTGTGAGTTATTAGTCATTTATAAGAATATTGTTCAACCCATGTGTTGATGTGGTTTCAATAGTTTTTCTTGCTATTGATTTCGAGTTTTCATTCCATTATGATCTGATAAGACACACAGGATTATATAAGGAGATTTAGATTGTGACCTAGAATATGATCTGTTTGTTTTGTTTTTTGGTATCAGGGATTGAATGGGGCACTTAACCACTGAGCCACATCACCATCCCTTTTTTTATTTTATTTTTTTATGTTGAGACCTTGTCTCAACATAAGTTGCTTAGGGCCTTGTTAAGTTGCTGGAGCTGGGTTTGAACTCATGATTCTCCTGCCTCAGCCTACCAAGCCCTAGGATTATAGACATGAGCCACAATGCCAGCAGAATATTGAGCAAAATATTCTTTTTTAAAAAAACTTTTTTTTTTTAGGTGTAGGTGGACASAATACCTTTATTTTGTTTACTTGTTTTTTGTGTGTGGTGCCTCATACATGTTGGCTAGTGCTCTACCACTGAGCCACAACCCCAGCCCCACAAAATATTCTTTAAATGACTGTTTCGTCCATTTGATTTATCATRTTATTTAGGATGGAAATATTTTTATTGATTTTATGTTTGGATGACCTGTTTTGGTGGAAGGGATGTTTTAAAATCACCCAGTATTATTGTTTTGGGGTTTATCTGGGATTTAATGCCAAGAAATATTTTTTTTATATAATAAGGTGCATTGATATTTGGGCCATAAATATTTACTATCATTTAAGTATATTCTGTGAAGTAATTACAGTGACATAATTGCTTAACAACATATTTCTCAGCGTGTACCTCATACCTGACTGTGGATGTATGTTGTTCTCCCCAACTTTCCTTTATACCATTTGAGAATCATTGTAGTATTTTATAAGGCTTTTATTTCTGTAGAAAATGATGGGATGCCTGGATGAAGAAACACACACATATATACACACATACACACAATCAATCAATCTCTCCCTCTCCCTCCCTCTCCCTCTCCCTCCCTCTCCCTCCCTCCCTCCCCCCCCCACCCCCCCAAAAAGTTACTTAATAACCTAAAATCAAAACTTGAGGTTAGATTTCAGGTTGCCTGGGCCCACATCTAGTACTCTTCCAGCTAAGCAGCACATGTTGCTCAGCTTTCTGTAGCCTTTGTTAACATGCAGTTCTTAGTTTCCTCAGTTTTTTAGGTCAGTCTAGGTTCTGTGACATCTGTGAGATAATATTTAAATGTCCATATTTTCTTTCAATTTAACAGAAGAGTAGCAGCTCTGAATCATTAAGTGACAAAGGCTCTGAATTGAAGAAAAGCTTTGATGCTGTGGTATTTGATGTTCTTAAGGTTACACCAGAGGAATATGCGGTAAGCCTTCTGTCTCTCCTGGCTCCAGTTTTTGCATAGAACTTACATACTGATGCTACTGAGTTAGGATTTGTAACCTCAGCAGAGGAGATGGTTAAAGAAGCTGGGTATGGGAATTTTGGGGGAATAGCACAACTGGAACAAGGGGGAGGATGGCATGGAGAAGGTAAGAAGAACTGCCTAGTGTTTTTAGAGCAGCTTCATAAGTTAGACCTTTAGTTTAGTAAGTAATAGGTTATTTCCTTTCATTGCTACCTATGCTATCTTCCCAAGTCAGTTGTACTTTATTGACATATCAAAGAAGTATTTTTACTGTTTGGTAAACAAAAAATTGAGAAATGAAATATGAAGATATCATTAGAATATTGTGACAAGTATCTAGAAAATCTTTTATTTATTAACTGACATATTCATTTATATCTGCTTTAATCTGTTAACAGGATACATTGATTTTTATGATATTGAACCACTCTTGTATTCCAGGAACGAACTGTGCTTGATCAGACCATATAATTTTTTGATATATTGCTAAACTTTGTTTTATATTTATAACCATAACCTTAACTTACAAAGTCCATATAATATGTTGCCTTTTAAATGTAGTATCAGTACTTATTATAAGTGAGGAAGAAAACCCTTTTTGGAGGAGTTACTGGGGATTGAATCCAGGAGTGCTTTACCACTGAGATACGTCCCTAGTCGTTTTTATTTTTATTTTGAGACAGGTTCTTGCTAAGTTGTTAAGGCTGGCCTTGAACTTGGACTCTCTGCTTCAGCCTCCTCAGTCACTGGGATTACCACACCTGCCTAGGAATAAAACCTTTTTATTTATCAATTTTCGATGAGTTGTTGAGGAGTGATAATTTAGTCAGTATTACAATATTGCTCTATGAACCAATAGACATGATTTTGTTTTTGATTTTTTTTTAATGTACATAATTTATTCAGCTTCATATTGATTGTTGTTTTTGATTTTTTAAATTATCTTTATTTTCTAATTTTACCTTATTTGTCTCAAGAAAATACAAATAGCTATCAGCTAAATAGAAATAATTTTATTTAATGGACTAAATAATTTTTAATTATAAGGGCTTTCTGTAAGCCCTTATAATTAAAAATTATTTAGTAATATTTTAGTACAGAATAAATTTTTTTACTTAGAATATATGTCATGTCATGGAGTTCCAAAGAACAGATTAATGTTGGTGTTTTTTATTTCAGGGTCAGATAACGCTAATGGATGTCCCAGTATTTAAAGCTATTCAACCAGATGTAAGTAGTTTTAAGAATGTTTCTTTTTAATATAGAAAATGATAAACTATAGTATCTTAAATGAAGACATTTTAGAAATGTCAAATTATATTTAATATTTAATTCTAAGATGTTTAAAGCTTTTGCCATAACATCTTAACGTTATTCAGGCCTCTGAAACATGGCATTCATAACTATGCATCATTGAATCACAGGTGGAACTGTGTTGACATTTTGGAGAGAACAGAAAGTGTCAGGGAACCACATTTTGACTATATGCAGGGTTGTGTGTGTGTTTAGTATTCCTGTCATTTTCACAACCTGGGCATGGCAGCATCTCCATCTTACTGATAAGGAAACAGGTGACAGTTATCATTGATTTACAGCAGTCTTAGTCCATTTTGTGTTACTGTTAGAAAATGCCTTGTGCATTATAAAGAAGAAAGACTTATTTAGCTTATAGTTTTGAGGGCTGAATGTCAAAAATCAGAGGACACCCTATCTGTTTAACCTTCAGTGAGGGTCAGTTCTTGTGGCTACCTCACAACATGATAGAGTAGTAGAAAGGGAGACCAGCCATGTAGAGCAGGGGCCAAGCACATGGGGTGTCTAACTTATAACATCCCACTCTTTTGAGTACTCCCATACACTTTGAGACCAAAAATTCCTAAGGTGGTACTCTATGACCTAGTCACCTCCCACAGGGTTCTACCTCTTAAAACTTACCTCCTCCCAACACAACAGTGCTGGAAAGCAAGCTTCCAGCACATGAACTTCTGGGGGAACACACAAAAACCATTTCCAAACCACAGCAACAACTAATGGCTGAGACTGGGTTTCAGATTCCAAGAACTGATGCTTTTCCCACTCTTATCAAGTAAGAATATAAATAGTATTGTGTGCCTCAAAATAGTCCTTGATAATCCTGAAATTCAGTAATGTAGCATAGATTGTTTAGCTCTTTAGGGATCAGAATGTGGTCTTCTGTTGTGATATATTACAAATCTATGGTGTCCCTGAACACTACAATGACTGTAATGAGTTCCCTCATACATGTAATATAAATGGTATTAGTCCAGTAATTTTTCAAGTAAGTTACTTAATCACCTATAAAATGAAGAGGTGGGCCCAAATGATTTCTGAGTCCCTGTCATCTCCATAATGTGCTTTCCTAACCTTTTTCTCATAATACAGAAACTTCTCTAAAGAGAATCATTGGATTAGCAATAGACAAAATAATATATTCCACAGATAACATCAATAGAAAATGGTTTTAGTATTCAGATGCCAAAAAGTAAAACCTTAATTTCCTCACCTTTTTGAACAAAACCAAAGAAATGAAATTCTTTATAAAAATTACTTGTTTTTTTTTTTTTGGCCCCAAAATTCAGGGATCTTCTCATTTGACTTTTTTTTTTTTTTTGCCTTTGGAATAAACTGCAATACTTACATTGCTGTTTTCATATGAAAGTAGTGCTGTTCAATGGAAATAGGTCATTTGGAGGTCTAGTAACCACATTATAGAGTAAAAAGAAATAGATGAAGTCAGTTTTAATAATTTTATTTGACCTGTTACATTTAAAATATCATTTCAACTTGTAATCATGATAAAAATTAAGATATTTTGCATTTTTTCTTCTGTATTAAACCTTAGATATTCAGTATGTTTTACAATTACTACACTTCTTTATTCAGAAGAACCATATTTCAAGTGCTCAGTACCCATTTGTAGCTAGGTGTTTGGCTACCACTACTTAAAGACATACACTTCTCTTCTAAGGAAATATTTTGTTTCCCCTAATAGTGCTTTGTGAACCTTAAAATTCCCTTGATTTTACTCCCTCAATATCATTCAACACCAATCTCATTGATTATTTTTTAAACTTTCTACATATCTTATTTATCTCTACTACCAACTCCCCAAGATGCATCTGCTCCTAATTGTATTACTGCAGTTCTCTCTTACCTGATCTATGATGTTCTACTCTGACTCCTGAAAGTAAGTTACTCTTCTCTACCTGGGAGCCATTGTAACCCTCTCTGGCCATGTAACTGTGCTCATGTGATTTCTCTGCTTAAAACACCAGTGGTTTCCTGTTGCTCTGAGGATAAGGATAAACCATCATAATAGAATCTCCAGCTCACTTCATGGTTTTGCCTCCTCCTTCCTTCTCCAAACTTATCCTATATCTTTTCTACCTCTTTTTGCTCTCATTTGCACTGGCCTTCTTTTAGTCCCTCTCACCACTGAGCCTGTAAACATCCTAGTTAACTTGTCTCATCAAGTTTAACTTTCTCAGGTAAGCTTTTTTTGTTTTCCTACAGGCTCTTTTGACACTCTTCTTCATTGTTCTTGTCATTTGCAGTTTTCCATTTTGTGTTGTGATGCAGCAAGTACTTAACTGAATGCCTGTCACATATTAGGTACTAGTTTTCTGATTCAGGTTTTAAGTAGTCTCTCTGACCACTGACCAGGGTGTATGGGAAAGAGCATAGGTAGGGAAGAAGTGCCAGGGAATCACGGAGACAGGTGAGAAATGAAGATAGCTTGGCTCAGGGTGGGAGTGGTAGAGTTAGAAGTGGTCAGCGTATATGCTAGAGGAGCCAAGAGCAATGCCAAAGTTTTTGGTCTTACATCAGAAGCATGTAGTTGGCATCCATTCATATAGAACATAAGGTAGAATGCAGCCCCATGGAGAAAGGCTGGAGGAACAGATTTAGAGCCCAGAGCTGGAGTCGAATGTCCTTATTTCCCATGTCTTTTAGATACGCTGGGAGAATATTCGATTAAGCAGTATGTGCTGGCATATGTTTCCAATCCAGGCAGGAAATATAAGTTTGAGAGATGCCACTGTAGAGAGAGATGGTGTTTAAAGGGAGGATGCAGGGCAGGGGGGAAGCTCCATGGTAGAGCATGCAGGTATTAGCATGTATGAGGCCCTGGGTTCAATCTCAGAATGAATGACTATATCCTCCCTTTGGGGTAAACACTGACCAATATTGGTCTTTATCATTCCTGACCATTTGGCTATCAGAAACAGGACTTTGCCATCTGGCAGAAAAATGTTTCTTAATTTAGTATGAAATATGGAAGACATATCACAGAGTATAATAATTTTTAGGTAAATTTCTGTATACCTAACCAGAAGTTCATCTGTATCCTCCCTATGAGGTAAACACTAACTAATATTGGTGTATATCATTCCTGTCCTGTTAGTTATGTCTCTTCTTTTATGTATAGGTATCCCTTAGTAATATATATTATTGCAGGTTTTAGATTGTTTATATAAATTTTATCTTATGGCTTTTGTATTTGGTTTGCTTTTCATGTTCAACATGGTTGATTAGAATTTACATTGGTACATGTGCTCTAGTGCATTAATCACTGGCTGAGGGGATGAATATCTTTAAATTTATTAAATACTGCCAAATGTTATCTAAAATGGTTGTATAAGTATTATTTTGTCAAGCTATTGCTACTGATAAATTTCATGAAAGATTGCTTAAGCTCTCTATTAGTCTCACGTATTAGTCTCATTAGCATAAAATAGTGTCAATCTCCTTGTGTATGCAGTTAGAATATTGCATTCACTAAAGAGTGAAGAAATTCTTGTTGTTAAATCAAAATTAAACCTCAGATGTTATGAAAAATAGTGGTTGTCTTGTGAGACTGTAACTAGTAAATTTATTTTCATGTTCTGTCCACTATACCAGTTATTAAATCTGTATTAAAACTTAATAAAAGCTATACATACACTTTGTGAAACTACTTGAAAGATCATTAGTTAAGTTGTACCAAAACTACTCAAATCAGAGCCCATTTTTATATATATACAGTTGGCCCTCTGTTTTTCTGGGATTCACATTTATAGATTCAACCAACAAGGATCAGAAATATTTGAGGGAAAATTGAGTTTGTACTGAACACATAACAATCTTTTGTTATTATTCATTCCTTAAACAATACAGTATAACATCTATCAAATAGTATTTGCTTTATATTAGGTGTATAAGTAGTATAGGGATGATTTAAAGTCTGTTGGAGGATATTCCTAGGTTATGTGCAAATACTACATCATTTTATATAAGAGAGTTGAGCATCTGTGGATTTGGGTATTCAAGGGGGAAGGGTGCTAGAATCAGTCCCCCATGGATAAGAAGGGACCACCATATCATATGTATCCATGTGTAACTTTATTTCAGGTGGTGATTTATTCACATTTACTATGTGTTGTGATCCCTTTCACATAAGACCAGGCTTTTTGCTATTCACCTCCCCAACCACCACCACCACCAAAAAGTAGCCTTTTCCTCTTGGTGATGGGGAGAAAACACAGTAATGGTTGCTAAAATTTTAAAGATAGTGATTACAAAGAAGACATGGTATAAGTCCTGTAATCTACACTGAACCATTACTAACACTCCTTCACAACTCTTATTAGTTGCTGTTTCTTTTTTTTTTTTGGGAGGGGGGGTACCAGGAGCATATAAACACTGAGCCACATCCTCAGTCCTTTTTAAATATCTATTTAGAGACAGGGTTTTCATGAGTTGCTAAGTGCCTCATTAAGTTGCTGAGACTGGCTTTGAACTCTCTATCCTCTTGCCTCAGCCTCCTGAGCTGCTAAGGTTATAGGTGTGCACCACCACCATGTCTGATGGTCTTTTCTTTAAGCCAGTTTGGGGGGGTATATTACTATTTTGCTGACTCCTGCTTTTAAATCAGTGTCCAACATATAGTTCTGAATGGGTGCTTAGAAAATTTTTACTAAATTTTACTTCATAAAATCTAGTGGCAAAACCACTGGAGCCATGAACCAGAAGATCTGTAGACTTATCTCAGCTTTGCAACTAATACATTGTAATGTAATATATTTTTTAATCTTTAGCCTTTAATTTCTTTTAAAAAATTATTTTTTTGGTTAGAGAAGAACACAATACCTTTGTTTTATTTAGTTATTTTTATGTAGTGCTGAGGTTCAAACCCAGTGCCTCACATGTGCTAGGTAAGCGCTCTGCCA